ACAGCATTTTGGAAATGGTCGGAAAATAACCCACCAGAAAAGCTCCAGAACCGAGTGTCAGAATATTCGGTGGTCGAACGCGTCAAGGAAGAATACCAGCGCGAATTGCAGGTGTGGCTGGATAACGGATGGCTGACTCCATATCCCGAGGAAGAGCTTGGTCCTCCAAGAGGCCTCATCCCGTTGATGGCCGTGGTACAAAAGAACAAGGGAAAGGTGCGCCCTGTACTAGATTATAGAGAACTGAACGAACATGTAGACACATACACAGCTCATGCTGATGTGTGTGCACAAAAATTGAGAGAATGGCGAACGAAGGGATCCAATGTCTCTGTGATTGACCTTCGAAAGGCCTACTTGCAGGTACGCGTGCACCGGTCACTGTGGCCATTTCAGACAGTGATTCTTAATGGGACGAGGTACTGCTTAACCCGAATGGGATTCGGACTCAATGTGGCGCCGGCCATCATGAAAGCCATCGTGGATGCTGTGCTATCCCAGGATGAGACAATTCGTCAAGCGACGTCAGCCTACATTGACGACATCTACATCAACGAAACCTTAGTACCAGCTTCACGGGTGAAAAGCATCTTGCTGACTTTGGGCTCGAATGTAAAAACCCAGAACGACTGGAGGATGGTGCTCGGGTGCTCGGCTTGCAGGTCTGGGGGAGCACAACATGCTGTACTGGAAACGTGGAAGCGAGCTCCCGGACATTCCCCAACCACATGACCCGACGCAGCGTGTTTTCGTTATGTGGAAAGCTGGTGGGACATTTTCCGTGGGCGGGTGGATCCGCATTGCAACTGCATTTATTAAACGTGGGGTGACTGCTGTCACTTCCGGTTGGGATGACACAACCAATGATGCTCCCCCTTAGACACATGATAGGGGAAGTCATTACTAGGGTGCGTCAAGACGACCCCGTACGTGGTAAATGGTGCGTTGACGGATGTGAATTTAACGTCTGGGTCGACGCGAGCTCCCTTGCAACAGGAGTGTCTCTTGAAGTAGGTGACACTGTCGTGGAAGATGCGTGTTGGTTGCGTCCCGAGAAGGATACGCAACATATCAACCTGTCAGAATTAGACGCCGTTATCAGGGGAGTCACCGCGGCCCTTCAATGGAATGCAAAGGTGTTGCATTTATTCACGGATTCCGCATGCGTGTATAAGTGGATAGCAGACACTCTTACGGGGAAGGCTAGGATACATACAAAGGCTGCGAGCGAGATGCTCATTCGAAGGAGGCTAGACACACTGGGAAAGTTGGTAAGTGAATACCACTTATCCGTAGACATACAGCTGGTCAGATCACAGCAGAACAAGGCCGATACTTTAACAAGGGTACCCCAAAAATGGCTTGACGCTATTAAGAAAGAGGTAGAGCCGGTAGAACATGTCTGTGTAATATCAACGAGCAACTATAACTCAGATTTACTAAAATCTGTGCATTGCCAAAGCGGACATCCCGGTGTAAAACGGACCTTATATTTCGTGAGGCAGATTGATCCCTCCGTATCCAAAGCTGCTGTCAGGGCAGTGGTCAGAGAATGCAAGGAGTGTCAGTCCATCGACCCAGCACCTGTGCAATGGCAAAAAAAAAGACAAGTGAGTGTAAGCAAGGTGTGGCACCGTGTTGGAATGGACATCACCCATTATAACGGGCATCACTATTTAACCCTGATTGATTGTGGCCCAACCCGGTTCACTATTTGGCGGCGTCTGCGTCGACAGGATTCCGCAAGCGTCATTGACCACTTGGGGTCATTGTTCTTTGAACGTGGACCTCCGACGGAACTCCTCACTGACAACGACACTGCATTCCGCAGTGAACTATTCAAAGATTTTGTGGCTTCGTGGGAGTACACCTCAGATTTCGCTGCGCGTATGTCCCATCAGGGAATGGCATAGTCGAGCGATGTCATCGGAGCATCAAAAGAATCGCTGCTAGGAAGCAGTGTTCCATAATGGAGGCGGTGTATTGGTACAATGTTACCCGAGAGACAATAATGTATCGCCCTCAACTCCGCCAGCCAACATGATTTATCAGTATAAAGTCCGGCTACGAGGCATTGACGCAACGCGTTCAACTGAACGGATAAACGAACGAGCGCCGTATGACTTGGGCGATCGCGTGTGGGTGAAATCTCCACATAGCCGGTGTACAACCCGGTACCGGGTGGGGCATGTCACTGGACTAAGTAACTCGCGTTCTGTGCTGGTTGATGGCATACCAAGACACATAAAGGACTTGCGTCACTATGTAGGTACAGATACGTCAACAAGTGACACTAGCAGTGAGTGCTCAGAAAGTGAACAAATAATTACCATCGGAGGTAGGGATAGCACCCCTTCAGATGGTGAAGACTCTGTGCGTGAGGTTGTCAGATCAGAAGAAACCTCAGAACATAACACACAACCTCCTCCCACAGTTGCCCCGCTCCGGAGAAGCTTAAGAATAAAGAGGCCCGCCCATGAGTGTCACTTATGTGACAGGGGGGAGTGTAGTGAACGAGATAATCACGTACCCCGGAAAAAAGTTCGTGTTTTGTGTGCGATCTGCCGGGGAGGGATTGCCAAAAAGAAAAGTAGTCAGCAAAACTCTTATAGCGACTTACCTCGTCAACCCAAGCGAAAAAGAAACAAGTTCGTCGCAGGAGTCGCTATAAGAGTGTATTAATATGCAAATTACGGAGCATCCTATCCCGGCTGTCGACGAATGGAAAAAATAGGTTCTGCCGATAAAAGCAGTTGGTGTTGTCGACTCGGGAGGAAAAAAAATTCGGGCAGTTTTGGCTACGGCGTTCGTGAGTTATTTTCCTGACGTGTTACAAGTGATTCTCTTTCTTTGTGTTGTGAAAGCCACAAATTTGCTTTGAGAACGCTTACTCTTCAGGGAGTTTATTAGTATCTTGCAGCTATACAAGATTAGATGTTACAACTCTTAATAGACCATGAAAAATGTAAAAAAAAAGCTTTATTCTGCATCGAAACGGGCGATCATAAATATGCAAGAGAATTCCAATTAAATCTTGAAAGGAGCGCTGAAGTAAATGAAACTCACACAAAATACTGAACCAAAACAAATAGAAAAAGGCTGAAACCCAAAGCCTCTCCATGACCATGTCCTTCTCCGAAGCAAAAATGCTGATGTAGACCAATTTGCAACCCACCAGTGGCTAAGGTTTTCAGAACTTAAGGGTGAGTCTGAAGGGTTTGTTCATATTGCACACGACCAAGGCTTTCTTATACGCAACTACCAAGCTAATATCTTGCATAATATTACGGACTTAAAATGTAGGTTCTGTAGCCAAGACATTGAAACTATTGATCACCTAATCTCAGGATGCTGAATACCCTCACCCAATGAGTAAAAACAACCGTCATGACAGGGCAGATCATAGGAAGATCTGTTATCACTAAAATCACATCTGAATGGGAAGATCTGTCATCACAAAGGGATAAAAACAGCTGCAAACTCATCCTGAATCTGTATTTGAGTTAGCAGATGTTACCATCCTCTGGGAGTTTTCTATCAATACAGATAGAACAATACAAGCAAATCGATCAGACATTATTATCAAAGACAGAAAAGAAAAAAAAATAGTACACTGATTAGCATGAGCGTACCAAGTGACAAAAGCAAATACAAAGAACTGCAGATGGAAATAGAAAAAAAACAATATGTGGTATTTCAAAACTGTTTCTGTTGTGGTTGGAGCTTTGGGTCTGATAAAGAAAAGAACTCAACAACAAAACAACAAAATGCACCATCTCGTCAGGAATTCCAAAAAAGTTCTGGTTAGCATAGCTCATATCCTGCAAAGAGCTTTGTCCATTTAAGTTTTTTGTTAATAGCTGTCTTTTGTTGAATTAAATAGACACAACAAAGAAACACATCCTTTTCTTGCCCGAGATCAAATGCAGGTCAAAAAGAATTTTTAAAATAATAATAATATCATAGCCAAAATAAACAAGACTTAACAAGATAGCAAGTAAGAGGTGGTTCCACCTTCCTCAAAATCTCTAATTTCCCGACCAGAGTCCTCGTTACCGGATGTAGTTTATCGTCTTAGCAACGACTGTTCAGAATATGCTTATATTTCTTTTCAATTCATTTATTTCATTGTAAAATTTCTTTCACATCTGTTCCAAATATCTTGTTTTGTCTATAGAGTTCTTTCATGTGGTTGTTTGTTTCGTTGCTTCTGTTTAGCGACATATCAACACCTCTATGGGTTAATGAATACAGAAATCTAAATGTGTTGCACGTGATTGTATGCTTTCATCTACAGATAAAATGTATTGTTGGTCATTTTGCTATAAATTGTATTGTTGTTAACTCTACTATAAAATTGAATTGCTGGTCATTTTACTATAAAAAATATTCTTTAATCTTTCATAGAGTTTTTGTTTGGCGTTTCACTATTTGCCTATAGCTGGGACCCCTGACAGGTGCTACCACCCAGGGTCAGTGTGGACCTGGGAACACCAGCAATTAAGAGGTGGTTCCACCTTCCTCAAAATCTCTAATTTCCCAACCAGAGTCCTCGTTGCCGGATGTAGTTTATCGTCATAGCAACGACTGTCCAGAATTTTCTTATATTTCTTTCCAATGGTCTTTTCTATTTTCTTACCGTTTGGTTTCTTATTTCACTGTAAAATTTCTTTTACATCTGTTCCAAATATCTTGTTTTGTCTATAGAATCTTTCCCGTTTCTCAAACCTACGTTGAGCTTTGGTTTGGATTTCTTTTTAATTTCAGTTATTCTTTCATTTGCGATATTTGTTGTTTATTTTCTCTTAATTCTATGGACTTTTCAAGATCTGTGTTCCTTATTTTTATGAAGTCGTTCCTGTGGAAACAGGATTAAAACTACAATGGATATAAGTAAATGGATCCCTAGACTGGTTATAAAATATACATGACTGGGTAGGAATGGTCATCTACTAGTAATTGTGTAAACGATTATTTCAGTATAGAGACTAGTGGTACATTTAGAAACGGGAATCTCTCCTCAAGAGAAAATAAATAAAATGTCTTGGGACTTTGAAATTGCCCAGGGCTTCATAAAAGAAAGTAAAGAAAGAAACGATGTAAGCAAAAAAGCAAATAGAAAAAAAAAGAAGATGGCTTAAAGCAAAGGAAGAAAGCAGATTACGTAGAAGAATAAGAAAAGGAACAAGGCGAATAGATGAAAGAAAAGAAAAAAGGAAAGTAAGGAAGAGAAAGTAAGAAAGAAAAGAAAGAAGATAAAGAAGAAATATGAGGATATGAAAGAGAGGAAGAAGACAAATGAGAGAAAGAAAAGTGATCATAAAGGAAAAGGAACGTACGTAAGGAAAAAAATCCCCCCAAACTAAGGGACTTAAGAAAATAAGAAAACGAAAAAAATTAAAAGGTGAGGTCAAGAAAAAGATGGACACGACAATTAAAAAAGAAATGAGGAAAGGAAAGGAAAGGAAAGAAAGAAAGAAGCAAAGTCGATGAAAGAAAAAGAAACAGAAAAGAAGATGACTTAAAAGAGAAGAAGGCAAAAAAATTAAAAGCTAATGACAAGAAAAAGAGGAACAAAACACATGAGAGGAAGTGAAAGAAAAAGAAAAGAGTTATGGAAAAAGAAGAAAGTAAGAGGGGAGAATAGAACAATAAAGAGAGAGAAAGAGAAAGTGATGAGCTATAAATTTTTGAAAGGAAATGTTAATGGGAGAGGAGAATAGGGTGAAGGTAGTAAGAAAATAGATAATAAAAGCTTTGGTCAGTGGCCGAGTCTATATTTATGGAGCTATTCCTATCACCGTCCGTACTGACCGAGACATCCTGCAACACTTTTGGCCAATTGCAGCTACAGACCATCCGATATTATTGCGAACAAATCTTGTCTGCTAACGCACACACAGACACACAGATGTGTGCATAAGCACACATGCACAAACACACACATATACACACGCACATGCGCAGTAATGCACATACGCATTCCATTACTTTGACAAAGAGATGTTCTTGGAAATAATGTTCGTTGTTACGCAAGCCATGACAATAAACTGATTTTCTCTTTGCTCAAGCTCGTAAGATTATATTTCTTTCTTTCTTTCTTTCTTTCTTTCTTTCTTTCTTAATCTCTATCTATCTATCTATCTCTATCTATCTATCTATCTATCTATCTATCTAAGTCTCTTTATGACATATCTATCTATCTATCTATCTATCTATCTATCTATCTATCTAGCTAGCTATCTAAGCCTGTTTATGACATATCTATCTATCTATCTATCTATCTATCTATCTATCTATCTATCTATCTATGTCATCTTTTTCTATCTCTTTTAGATTTATCTCATTGGGTATGTTCATGTGTAAATCAGTTCTTATATATTTACCTATATATCTTTTATGTTCATATTTATATCAGTCTCTTTACACTAATCTTTTTAGTAGGTATATACAAGAGTCCTTCGATTAATGCGTTTTCGATTAGTGCATGCATAACACCCAATTACTCCAGTAAAACATTCTGTAATTGAAAATAGACTTGTCTATATTTGCCATTTAATTATAAATTTTCCAAAATTTAAAAATGGAAAATGGGTAACTATTTTGTTTGTCAATTTTGCTTATATTCGATTAAAACGTCTTCGGTGAGTGCGTATTTTTTAATGTACGCATTAGCCGCACTAATCGAGGGATATGTAACTTTATTTATCTATTTGATTCTGTTAATTTTTATACCTTTCTTTTTTCTTTTTCTTTTTTTAATCATCTCAAGCAAGGCGAGAATGCCACTAATACGCAGGGATTTACAGGGAGTGAAACAGAGAAAAACTGGTTGTAGGGGGAGATTGAGGAAAGGACAAAAGATGAACAGGATTCAAGAAGACAGAGATGGGGCGATTGACGTTGCATTTAAATTAAATGAAGATTATAGTTATCAGGGAAACACGTAAGCGAAAGGGAGTTCCAGAGACGGGAAGTGCGAGAAAAGAAACTGTTGGAGTAGAAGTGATGGTGAAATTTAACTATTTCAACTGTAAAAGGATGGGACCTAATTGCCAATCTAGTAGCACGCTTAATTCATGTAGTCGGGACACCCGGAAAAAAATGAAAATATTTGTAGAAAAGACAGAGGGAAGCCACATAATGTTTGTGAGAAACTGACTTAAGTCGAGATGGGAAGTCAGGATACATTACACAGAAGATCCTTCTTTGGATTTTGACATTAACCAGCAGGAGAACCAGAACAGATATGGCAGCAGCATTCAATGCACAGGCAAATGGTAGATTTGTAAATGTGCAAGATGGACTCTGACGAGAAAAGTTTTCTGGTGCGACACAGTGAGCCAACTTTCCTTGCAATAGATGCAGCTATTAATTCGATGTAGTCATCCCACTTAAAGTCAGTTGAAAACATGAAGCCAAGAAGGCGCAGTGTATTGTTTTCCAGTTTAGCGTCAGCCATGCTGATGACAGGCAGAAAAAATTCTCTATGATGATTAAATGAGAGCAGTTTTGTTTTGCAGCCGTTAAAATTTACAAACCATTTCTTGCTCCAGTTAACCATTGATTGAAGGTTCTTTTCAGTAGCAGCAACTAGATTTACTTTGTCAACTCTGATGGATTTGCTATTGAGACAGGAATAAATGGTATCTACAAATGTTATCTCACCATATAATGGTCAGTGAAACAATTAATATGGATAAGTGAGTTCGATTTTCACTCGGTGCCCCATACAAGATTCGATAGCAAGCAACCGAAAAATCAAATCAAATCATTTAGCCGGACGTTGAAAATTTCCGGTTAGAGGATTATAGTAACAGTTACATATGATTTTGAAGTAATGCCGGGTGAAGGATGACTGTCGAGGTTTGTTCTGATACTGAGCATTGGACTTGCTACGCTCGTTGTGATGTAGACATGGGTATAGATTTGGTCAGGTTAAGGGAAAAAGTTGATCGGTTTTCTGAGATGTAAGTTGGCAGTGGCAGAAGTTGTCTCCAACTTCCGACTAACCTATCCATACAGACCGTGCAAGTGGAATATATTGCAAATTGGGTTCGAGTTTTCATTTCTCGTTGTAGCATCTATTTTTACCATTCGTTTTACTTGTGACAGTGCAACAGACCAGATCTTTCCCCATCGACACGAACGGAAATAAAAACGTAAGGTGGGCTTTCATTGACCGGTCGGCGAAACACTGAGAGAGAGTCCCCATGTGTGTTTAGATAGATGTTACTTCTTTATTTTAAAGTAATCTTTTATACATATCTTTTTGATTGATTAATTTGCTTATTTTGAGATTGCAAGAATTCTTGGAAGATAATAATGATTTTCTGATACAAGTCAAAAGAATTAAACCAAATCTGGTGGGAAGAAGAGGTTTGATTTATACCATTTTCAAAAGTATTTGTGTGTACGTGAATATACTGAACCTGACATGAATTGAAACTCCGCTCTCTCTCAGACTAGAAACACTACTGATTGCTACTTAGACATATCGATGAAAAAGACGCATGCAATATCTGCATGGCCTGCGGTCATATCACGTTGAAACACCGATTCTCGTACGATCACCGAAGTTAAGCAACGTTGAGCCTGGTCAGTACCTAGAAGGGCGACCACTTGAGAATACCAAGTGCTGTAAGCTTTGATGGAAGGATAAGGATAGTGTCATAGATAATAGCTCTGAATTGGAAGATGGAGTCATTGCTTAACAACCTTTTGTTTTACGAAAAGTATAATTATTATTATTATTAATATATATATATATATATTATTAATATATATATATTTATTATTATTATTAATAATAATATATATCTATATTATTATTATTATTATTAATATATATATATTTATTATTAATATTAATATATATATATTTATCATTATTATTAATATATATATATATTATTAATAATAATATATATCTATATTTATTATTATTATTAGTAATATATACCTATATTTATTATTATTAATATATATATTATTAATATATATGTTTATTATTATTACTACTATTAATATATATATTTATTATTATTATTAATATATATATATATTTGTTATTAATATTAATATATATATTTTATTATTATTATTAATAAATATATATTTATTATTATTATTATTGATAATATATATATTTATTATTATTATCAATATATATATATATATTTATTATTATTAATATATATATATATGTATATATATATATATGTGAGGAAATATATATATATATATATATATGTGTGTGTGTGTGTGTGTGTGTGTGTGTGTGTGTGTGTGTGTGTGTGTGTGTTAGGTAATGGATTAAATCCGATAAATTTTTAATCTATCTGTGTAAATGTTATTTTTAAATAGATACTCATATTTGATTAGATGATATTCATGGTGCGATCGGTAAATAGTCGCCAATTTATATTTTTAATTTTGCGCATGCGCGTTGTTTGTTTTTGATTTTTTTGACTGTATCGTATTCTAGGGTCAGTTGGGCACCGTCTGAGAGAAAAAGAACACTACGACTCAATTCACTCCGCCAGATATTTGGAAACGGTATGCTGTACTATTTGGCATTCACGCCGGAAGCTTCAATACGAACATTTCAGAGTGTTTGGGTGTCGGTCTGATTACAGTGCAGAGGATTCGGAAAAAGTTCGATGAGTCTAATGGTGATTGCGAAAGTGTTTGGATTGATCAGTAGTAATGGCGACGTGATGCCTTCATTCATCTTCCCACAGGGCCTAAGACTCAACACGGAGGCCTACATCAAGTGCCCTGAGGACGTAGTGCTGCCCTGGGTCAAGAGGTTGACTGCTGGAAGACTCTGCCTAACAACAGGGCTCTGCACCATGTCATATAATCAGGAAAACCCAGTCATGGCTGTCAGACAATTTCTGCGACCACATCACCCCTTACATCTGGCCACCTAACTCCCTAGACTTCAACTCCCGTTAATCATCATGTGTGGGCGCAGTTAAGCGAGAGACAAAAAAACCCAAAAAAACTCCTTGTAATACCAAAGATGAACAGAAGGCAAGCATTCGCCAACTTATCATGGAGACAGTCCAGAAGAGTTTCAGGAGATTTTGAAGTCGTCTGGAGGCCGTGAATGAAACCAATGGCGATTTTATTTAATAAATTTACTTTTTAGTATTTTAGCATATTTTGGCGTAGTTTTGGTAAATATAGATTTTAAAAATAAGATGTCGCTGTTATTTTCATTTTTGCGGTGTTTAGACGACAATTCATCCACTGCACCTGGCCTGAGGCATTCGGATGTCTAGTCGCACTGAGGTGCTGTGATACAACGAAACAGTACTGTCTATGGATGACATAATTAAACCCTTGAAAATATATTTCAATTGAGCACTGTTGAGAGATAAGCTGATTCTATAAACAACAACCATCTGCGCCAATGCAAAGCTCTTCAGTAAAATGAATTGGAGCCCTCTGACTGATTGGTGTTTGTTTACATTCGTAAAAACAATTCGCTAGAATTAGTTGTTCCTCTCTGCCGAGTGATGATAGCTTAATGCTAGAAACTCTGAGTGACACGAAATCGATCGGATTTCGGTCCTGGCTTGAGGCATTTGGATGTCAAGTCGCACTGCGGAGCTAAACAGTACTGTCTGTGAATGACATATATATATATATATATATATATATATATATATATATATATATATATATATGGATGGATGAGGATTAAGTACCTTCTAACCTGACACACTCTATCATATCAATGGGTCCTTTTCTGTCGCACTTTGTGCCACAAGTCAGGATGATGCTCCAATCACCATCTTTTTTTTTTTATTAAGAGTTTTCCATCTCTTAGCTGCATGTACGCTCCTGTAAGCAGTTCGTCCATCATTTGCCAACCATTTTCACATTTTCATCCAAGGTTATACGGGACAGTCTGCCCTGCTATTTAACCCATAGCTGGGGGTTGAAGAGATTAATTCATATTTTTCTTAAGGGTATTTGGGCTTAAGTGAATGTAACGAACCCGATTGGATTTCGAACTCGGTTCTCCGATTTCTCATTTTGAGTTATTCATCATTACACCCATAAATCCAAGCTTACAGAATTACACCAACCGAACATCCAAGCTTACAGATCCCCGGTACGTTGTATTTCCAAGCGGTCAGCCATTTGAGGTTTTCGTGGCACACTGTGTACCAGTTTCTTATTGTTCTTCCGAAAAGTGTAGATGGTCCTGCACAGAAAAGCATGAACACACCTCTTCCCCCCAGCTATGGATTAATTAGTAAGACTTGTATTACTAAACCATTATTATCAAAAAAACAAAAACAAAAAAAAATATCTTACACCCTAAAAATTTTCTGGCTTTAATTAACCTGACTTTAAACGGGTCGATAACCCGTAGAAAATCAATCAATTAATCAATGACCTCTCGACTTCAATTACTTTCCCGTCGCCGTAACGTAGCTTCCGTGTGGGCTTATATATATATATATATATATATATATATATATATATATATATAAATACATCCATGGTAATTGTTTTGATGAACTTTCCGCTATGGTTTCTAGATTTTATGAATTTAAGCGGAGTACTAGATTGGCGGTAAAGTCTCATTATTTTGTAACGCTGTTTAATTCTTACGTTGAACATGTCCTGTGAGTGTTAAATTTTCCAATCCCTCTTTCCTCATTATGTACCTGATAAATTTTAGCCGCCGGTTACTGATATTACGTATAAATATCTGTTTCCATTTTCTCAAAACTTCATCATTGCACACATGTTCAGGCTATGGTATTCTCAACCTGGGAAAGTTTAAAGCTTCCCTATGCTTTTCCTATAAATATTTTCATGTTAATTGTTCCTTTGATATTTCATCTATGGTACCGAAACTCTATGTATTTAAGCACTGTACTAGATTGGTGGCAAGGTCTCATCATTTTACAGTTGAAATGGCTAGATGTAACCGTAAGTTCTATGCTAACAGTTTCTTCTCTCACATAAGATTCACTTATTGGCATCTCGGCTTCAGTCACTTTCCTACCACCATAATGTAGCTTTCCTGTGCCTTTCCTTTAAATAATTTCATGCTAATTGTTCTTTTCACTATGGTACATAGACTTTATGAATTTAAGTGCAGTACTAGATTGGTGGCAAGGTCTCATCATTTTACAGTTGAAATGGCTAGATGTAACCGTAAGTTCTATGCTAACAATTTCTTCTCTCGCACTTCTCACTTGTGGAACTCTCTTCTGGCTTCTTGCTTCCCTGTCAACTTTTAATATTTAAATGCGATGTCAATCGTTATCTTCTGTCTTCTTAATTCCTGTTATTTTATTTTTCTCTCTCTTTAATAGTTTTTTTTCTCTCATTCTCTCACACTCGATGACCCTTCGTTTAGTTGCTTTATTGTCTTGCTTGTGGTGAAATGTTTAATATATATATATATATATATATATATATATATATATATATATATATATATATATATATATCAGGTTGAAATAGACAAGTAGAAGCAAGCAGAGACAGACAAACTAATATTATACTTTTCGATACATTTCTGTTTTTCCTCGTACAAAAATGTTGAAATCAAGTGTCTTGAAAGGTGCAGCGTATCATTAAGGTGACGGAATAGCAGCGAAAAGAAACAAGAAGAGATGGTAAAGGGAGTAGAGTCAGAGTGGGCGAGATCAGTGCAAATAGCCAGTCCAGCGAGGTGCTCCCTGGTCATTGAAACCGGGAGGAGTTGGGTGAGGGAATGAACGAAGAAAGAGTTTCAGTTGTAAATCGTTTTCTGAACCCGCCTGACCAGTCTGGACTGATTGACACTTTAGTCCAACCACCCTGTCTCCCGCTACACCACCACACACCCTTCCCACCAACGTCTCTGTCTCTCGCTACGCCACCACACCTCCTCCTGCCCTTAATGTCTGTGATGTCATGTCACGCCCACCCGAGTTCGTTGTGGATTGTTTTGTTTGTGCAACCAGAGCTTTAAAAACAGTCGACAAAATAAACGTAGATTCAAGCTCCTAGACCAGCTTTTTTTTCAAACTTTCTTTTTTCTACTGCGTCCCACAGCAAGAACCACATTTTACATTGCGTCTCGTTATATCTACGTGTAAGAAATCAAAGACAAATTCTGTTCATTAGATTCATTTATTTAGCATCGATAATTTATATGTATATTTCTTGTGATCGTATTGGAAATTGCATGTATCTATTTGTATTATCTATTTGGATGAATATAAAATTATTACTTTTATAAAAAAAGAATAAATTTAAACGAAATTTCGACACAAACATAAAGTATATAATTCACAACAAGTTTCACGAACAAGATACAAACTCAATTGGTTATAATGCGGATTTTTAACATATATACATTATACTTTATTTTCCATATTTTTGCTACACGCGTTTCCGATCTCGCGACGTTCATCAGGCAAAAGGTGGTTATTTCCACATATTATTAAAAGGAATTACTTTTCCTTATGTTTTCCGATGTTTGACCATTGTCTCTTGTGTGTACTAGTAATCCAAAGTTTTCTTGAACTTGTGGAGAAAATATTCTGCTTAAGAGGCAATAACATAATTAAGATTGGTCGGAGAAAAGGGCGATTTTAAAGATAGATGGAGGCAGCATAAGTGC